AAAAAAAAAAAAAAAAAAAATCTTTAAAAAAAAAAAAAAAAAAAAAAGAGTTAAAGATTTGTCCCATGATTTATTGGGAAAAATGGATGTAACATTTAGTTTAGTGATACTTGTAATCATGTAAATTATTTTTATGATGAAAGTAAAATCACACAATTTAGGAAAAAAGGCTAAAAAATTAACTTAAAAAACAAACCACATTTAGCATCTTAATGTATTTCCTTTAAAAAAGTTTTAAAATATAGTTGTAATACTATGTATAGTTTTATATTCTGCTTTTTTCAAAGTTGCTGTATAGTTTTCATAATCAAGATTTTAAGTAGTTGCGTACTAAGTCCATCAGATAAACATAATTTACTTAGTTCTGCTACCTAACTATTCACGTTAGATTGTTCCGACATTTTATTTGTAGTTATTTCAGTAAATATCTTAATCCGGATAGTTTTTCCTAGAAAAGAATTCCAGACTTAGGATTTCATAAACTTATATATGACTCTTGGGGTAATGTGATTGTGCTTTTTAACCAAGAAAAATAATTATATAGGCTATGTAAATTTACTAGTAAGACTGTGTGATTTTATTAGTTTTTTTATTTGTATAAAATGAACCACTTCATTTTAATATGTTATAAAGTTTTAAAACTTGATTATCAATTATTAGTGGTAATTATGGAAGCATTTAATAACATTTTCTGATTTATTTAGTAGCTTTTAAAAATTTAAAAAGTAATACATGAATACATGTTTATAAAAATTTAACCAGTACATTTCATTCCTTACCAATCATTTACATTCTTTTATTTCCTTTTTAAGAATAACTTTGATTTAGATATGATAGATATTACTATGACTATTTGATGAATGAAGACGCACATATTCTCCAATAAAATTGCTTTTAAGTTTTGAGAGTATACATATGAATTGATGATGTATATTTACGACCCTTGTGTTTGTTTATTTCAGTGGTCAAGGAAGTTTGCTGCAGCCTTTTATATACTATAGATTTCTTACTCTTCGATATTCCTCTCGAAGAAATCCATATTGTCGGTAAGCTGGTGATTAATTTAAATCTGTTTTATTGGGCCGGCCCCGTGGCTTAGCGGTTAAGTGCGTGCGCTCCGCTACTGGCGGCCCGGGTTCGGATCCCGGGCGCGCACCGATGCACAGCTTCTCTGGCCATGCTGAGGCCGCGTCCCACATACAGCAACTAGAAGGATGTGCAACTATGACGTACAACTATCTGCTGGGGCTTTGGGGGAAAAAATAAAGGAGGAGGATTGGCAATAGATGTTAGCTCAGAGCCGGTCTTCCTCAGCAAAAAAAAAGAAGAGGATTAGCATGGATGTTAGCTCAGGGCTGATCTTCCTCACACACAGACACACAAAAAATAATAAATAAATAAATAAAATACCAACAAACAGGTTTATAAAACTACGTTTTCTACACTATACTTTTTTTGTTAAGGGTTTTAAGACAGTCAGTATCAACAGTTGGTACCGTTTTTGCCTATCATGATATTTATTCTCAAGTCAGTGGTATCAGTCCTTTGTAGATGTCTAGTGTAGATTGTCCAGACCTGTGCTGTCCAATATGGCAGCCACTAGCCACATTTGACCATTTAATTAAAATTCATAAAATTCAGTACTCAGTTATGAGTCACACTAACCACATTACAAAAGCTCAAAAGCCTTGTGTAGCTGATGGCCACTGTAGTGGACAGCACAGATAGACATTTTCATCATCAGCGCAAGTTCTATTGTCAGTATTGCTCTGAAGGATCTCTGTGGCTTGGTCTAGATTATGCCAGTGATAGAGTCAGGAATAAGAGAACTAGCCATGTGACTTTGGGTCTCATCTGTAACCTGAGGGGCTTTGAATAGAGTATTTTCTCTTTTTTTTTTTTTTTTTTTTTGTGAGGAAGATCAGCCCTGAGCCAACATCCATGCTAATCCTCCTCTTTTTGCTGAGGAAGACCGGCTCTGAGCTAACATCCATTGCCAATCCTCCTCCTTTTTCTCCTTTTTTCTCCCCAAAGCCCCAGTAGATAGTTGTATGTCATAGTTGCACATCCTTCTAGTTGCTGTATGTGGGACGCGGCCTCAGCATGGCCAGAGAAGGGGTGTGTCGGTGCGCGCTGGGGATCTGAACCCTGGCTGCCAGTTGCGGAGCGCATGCTCTTAACCGCTAAGCCATGGGGCCAGCCGTGAATAGAGTATTTTCAAGATGCCTTTTAGCTTTATTCAGAAGACAGTGATTGTATGTTGATGAGAACAAGTTGATGTAGGGTTGAAATACCTAGAGCTGAGTGAATTAGACAGCTGTATAAGTCAATATGACGATGAAGGTGCTGTGGAAGCACAGAGAACAGAGGGAGACAGATGAGAATTCACTGAGGAGGTGGTAATATAAGCCAGGCCTTTTCAAGTTTGAGTTCTGGTACATGGATGCCTGAAAGTGCTTGCATACCGGTAGTTACATGTTGCATGAGTTGAGAAAGTGTATAGGGAATTAATAAAGATCTGTGCCCAGAAAGGTAGACAGGGACTAGATCATGAAAGGGTCTGGATTTTATCTGAAGTTTGTTAACATAGAAGAGTTGAGAATGTGATGACATCTGGTTTAGAAATATCATCCCAGAAGATAGATTGCAGGCTCACCAAGAGGAGAAAAAGATAGACCAATTTGGAGACTGTTAGAGTAGTCCAGAGCCTGAACTAATTCAGTAGTAAAGGAAAAAGGAGATAAATTTGAAAGACATCCAGCAGGGTAGGAGCTTAGGACTTGGGGAAGAAGAATGAGGTAAAGAAGACCTCTAGGTTTCTGGCTTGGCAACCTAAGAGAGTTGTGAGTATTGGGGCTGTCACAGAGATAGGAGCTACAAGAAGGACAGGTTTTTGGATAAATGTGCATCTTTCTAAATTTCCTTCTTGTCTTTGTGTGAGAGCTTATATATACATCCTTTTTTAAAACAGTAGATTATTACTTTTTTCTAACCATAAAAATAATACAGAAATGTGGAACAGGAGTTTTGTCTTTATGCAGGATTAATCAGCACATAAGGTGAAAATTGTGAATAGTTAAAATTACCCTTGATGTTCTTTCAAATCACTTATAAATTACAGTACAGTGTACATGATTTTGGGTCTGCTAGCCTGTACAATGTATGTAATATAGAGTACCCTGTAGGAAATGAACACAGTTAAGGCAAAGTCAAAGTCTACAACCTGTTTTAGGCACAAACATGCAACATCACTGGAACATAGGGGTCATGGCAGAGAGTGGAAGTCTACAACCTGTTTTAGGCACAAACATGCAACATCACTGGAACATAGGGGTCATGGCAGAGAGTGGCAGAAGTTAAAGGAGAAAATTTGATTTAGACCAGATTCTGGAGGGCATTAGTATTGAGTATCTTGCATGTTGTCTCATTTAAACTTTACTACGATTCTGTGAAGTACATATTCCTATTTTACAGATGAGGAAAGCCCTAAGAGGCAATATGTTCATTTAAGGAAATAGTAGGTGGGATTACCCATATTATATAATTTTCACTTTATTGCTGTCTTTTTTAGAACTAGTTGAATTTGCCTAAATTAAATGAGAAAATGATGTAATTCTACTGTAAAGAAGATACAAATCATCCGTAATCTTAGCCCTCAGAGATTTTGTTAAATGAACTTTTCCCCCCAAAAGATACAGGTGTTGATTTTGAGAATTTTATTTTGTGTATTCCCTGCAGTACATTCTAGTTATTTCTTTTACTTCTTCAAATTCTTTAATGGCTGGCCGGCGCCATGGCTTAGCGGTTAAGTGCGCGTGCTCCGCTGCTGGCGGCCCGGGTTCGGATCCCGGGCGTGCACTGACGCACCGCTTCTCCAGCCATGCTGAGGCCGCGTCCCACGTACAGCAACTAGAAGGATGTGCATCTATGACATACAACTCTCTACTGGGGCTTTGGGGGAAATAAATAAATAAATAAATAAATAAAATTATTTAAAAAAAAAATTCTTTAACGGCTATGGGAAATTCCTTCATCAGCATTTGCTTTGCATTATGTTGCTCTTTTCTTGTGTTTCTGAAAGAAAACTGTTTTATCTTGCAGGACCTTGTTTAATGAACTGAGGATTGTTGTTGAACATATAATAATGAAACCTGCTTGCCCACTGTTTGTAAGAAGACTTTGTCTCCAGAGCATTGCCTTTATAAGCAGACTGGCACCAACAGTTGCATAGTTTAACATCCAGCTAAGTTATATATATAAGCATTATTAGCAGCTGGTACTTCTGCTAGGGTTTGTTAATTCCAGGTGTAAAACTGACCTCAGTCCAATTTACATAATCTACATAAATGCATCTCAGTGGAAAAATAATCATCTTCCTGGCATGTTAAATCAAGCCTTTCAAAAAGTTTCCAAGAAAATTTTACTGTGCTGTGTTGTTAATGGTTAAGGAAATTTGTATCTAGTGATAAATGTATCAAATTGTTTTTAGATGCTACTGTGCCTTTATCATGAAGTACATTTATTTCTCTTGCAAAAATAGCTCTAAAATTTGTTTCAACTTAATTGGTAACTTGAGTTTATATCTGGCATGAGTTCATTATGGTAATATTAACATATGTGAATTCAGTATATTTTGAGGCAGTATTCTTTTGCCATTCAGTAATTTTGGTTGATAATTTTAACAGAAGCACTTTCCTCTGTATTTTATTGTTATTTGATCTTTTGTTGCTTTGTTAGGACAGATTTATTTTGGATGTACCATTATAGGAGGAATTCTGCGTGTATCTTAGGCTATGACCTTCCAAAATTTTATTTCCATAATTATTTCTGTGGCTTTGAATATTTTTTAAAAAGGCTCAACTTTAAACTTGTTAGCCACTTGGGTAAATGTCTGGGGTCACCTAACCGTTTTACATCAGAAAGCAATAGTCATACAGCTTTCTTTTCAGAGAGCCAGTGAGTAACATTTCTCAAATAGGAAATCCGTGTTTTACAAATGTGGACACATGGGTTTTATTAATATTATTATAGTTTATAGAATTACCTAGACCAGATTATTGACTGCCAATTTTCTTGGTTTCTTAGGCTTGAATTTTTATAGACAGTTGCAGCAGTTCAGATGCCTTTTGAAAGGAATGTAACTGAAGATTGAGCATATGACTATACTTGGTATCTGTTCTGAAATAATAATGAAGATTATCCTGTAGATTACATACTTACCCATTAAATCTGATTTAAAAGGTTAAATGGAAAGGTTTATAGGTAAGGTAGTTGGGAACAGGGCTGGAGGAGGAGTTGTGGGGGAATAGTGTATATTTCCATTTCGTAAATAAATTTGGGGGAATTGGATATATTATGCAACTGTGATTTGAGTTGTATAATATGTTAAATCCTGTTCATTGAGCTTCCATCAACTCCTTTATAAAATTCATTCTGATCTTTATTACTGTTGCATGATTGGAAATGTTTAAAACATTGCCAAAATTTTAGTACAAAATAATGTAATAATGGTTTTTGTAACCAATTTTCTTCTGTCTGCATGTAATTTGGATTTTCTCAAATACATTCATTAGTAATTTATCAGTAACGTCAGTTTTCTTTTTGTTCAACTTTCCGATCTATAGAAATGTGATAACTACTTGATAGTTCAACTGTAATCAGCTATTTTTGTATTTTTGTAATATTTATCTACTAAGTTAGAGAAGCAGCCTCATAATATGCAGTTGATTTTGTGTGTGTCTGTGTGTGTGTGTCTGTGGCTAGCCTCATTATCACTATATAGGTAATCTGATGGTTTTAAGAACTAAATTTTCTAGAGCAATAAAGTGACTATAATGTTAAGTAAACAGTATATTATTAATTTCTAATGTTTTTAAAAATTGTCTTGAATTATGTCAATAAATTTTGGCAGCTGAAGGCATTTATTTTTAAGTTACTAGTTTATTTTGTTTTCTGTAATTTTTTTTAATCTTGAGATAATTTTAGATTTATAGAAGAATAACAAATCGTACAGAGGCTTCCTGTATACTCTTTAACTAAGCTTCCTCTTAGGTTAATATCCTTCATAACTATACAACATTCCTCAAAACTAGGAAATTAACCCTGAAACAATACTATTCTAAAGTACAGAACTTATTCAGGTTTCACCAGTTTTTCCATTTATTAATTTTCTTTTTGCGTCTTCTGTTTTTACCATGATGTTCTTTTACTTTTAATGACCTTATAAGTATGAGTTTTGAGTTTTTCCTCTTTCTTTTGAAAATTTCTGTTGGTCAAAAAGATTTTCCTAAGGAAAATAATTATTTGGTTTTAACAAAAAGAATTTTAACATTAAAACTATTATAATTTAGAACAGAGTTTTATAAGTCAAAGCTTTTTATAACATAGCAGGACTATAATTCTGATATGCTCACATTTGACTCTTCTTTAAAGGAAGGATTGATTTATAAATAAAATACTCCTAAACTCATGTAAAAGTAAATTTTACAATTTGAGCATTACTAGATGTTTTGTTTGCATGAACTTGTAGTTAGAAATTCCGTGATATGAATTTGTACAACCAGCTGATTTGGCATCTGAAATTATAGTGTAACATGTACACCTATCAAATTACAATTAAGGAAATACATTAGCAGTATAGAGAATGAATGCAGTAGGAGAAATTACGGCTGCAGAGCTGAACTTATTTTTACTTACAGGTTTAAAAAAAGTTGACTTAACATCCAGAACGTCTTAATTCTTTAGGAAGTGGTATAGTGCTGTTCTCTAGCACTCTAGCACTTTTAGATATTAAACCTTGGACAGGTGGAAGCCTCATACAAAACCTACTTAATTCTAACAAGAATTCTGTATTCCTTTTATATACCTTTTATATCATGAATTTAAACTCCATTTACCATCATTCCAAAGAGAAATTTCTTAAATAACAATTCATATTTAAATTTTCACCAAGGTAGATGTTCCTGGACATAAGCAAGAAAGAAAGCTAACTTTTTTAAAATTTAAATTTAATATTTAGGAACCTTCCTTACAGGGAAGATCAAAGCATGCTAATGTTAAACCAGAAGTTATGAAAAATTTATAAGGTCTGTTGTATAACTAAGAATTGTAAAGCTATCAAAAAACTTCCTTTCTTCCTAAAAATCAGAATCAAAAAATCAGATTAGGTTTGTAAGTTTAGGGCATGAATATTATTCATCCTGGAAAGGAAAATGAGTGTATATGTAATAAGACAAGTGGAACTGAGACTTAGGTTTTTTGAAGGTTTGATAGCAGAATGAATGAAATTAATTTTGAGAGATTCCATATCTAATGCTAAGGAATTTATTTTGATTACTATAGTTATTCTGAAACTTCTCCCCCACCACCCCTGCCCAAATCCCCTTAGGATCTGCTACCCTCAAAGCTATCACCCAAATTTAGACTACCTTTATTTTTTTGGTGAGAAGGATTCACTCTGAGCTAACATCTCTTGCCAATCTTCCTCTTTTTTTGCTTGAGGAAGATTAGCCCTGAGCTAACATCTGGGCCAGTCTTCCTCTATTTTGTATGTGGGTTGCTGCCACAGCATGGCTTGCTGAGTGGTGTAGGTCCGAGCCCAGAATCCGAACCTGCAAACCCTGGGGCCACCGAAGCGGAGCATGCCAGACTTAACCGCTATGCCCCGGGGCTGGGCCCTAGACTAGTTTTGATACTTATTCTGTAAAGTGAAAACCTCAAGGAGAAAATAACCACGGACAGTTATGTTTATGATCAGTAGGTGGCACTCTTTCCTCAAGTAGCCCCGGAGTTGGTTCACATGCCATATTGGAAGGTTAAATGCCACTTTAAGTGCTGAGTCAGCCATGAAACTAAGGATCTGAATTCCATAACCCTTTTTAATATGCAATTATTTAATATTTAACAAATATTTAGTAAGCATTTACTATGAGTAGATTTTTTAAATACCGAAATGTCCAAAAGTTGGAAGAAGTACCCTGTTAATATCTGCTTTCTAGGTAAACTGTAAAATAGGCCACAATTGGGAGTAGCATTATTCAGATTATGGTCTGTTTTTTTTTTTTCGTTATTAAGTGCCTAAATCACTTGAACACATCAATTATAAAATTGTTCTTTCTCCTTCATTTTCAGGTGTGTAGAAAAATGGTACTTAAAATTTTTTCATGGTCATTTTGTAGGTACACAAGTTATAGCCAGTTTCTCTTAAAATTTATACTTCTCACAGAATAAAAGCATATTGAAATCTTTGGATATTATATCAGGAATGGTACCTAGGTTTGTAAATCCAATTTGAGTTGCAGAGACAACTAGTTTCTCATAACACCTCATTGGAATTTCTCTAGGATTAGGACAATTTTACAGAGCTATATGATAGTATAGCTCAACAGATGGTTTACCAAAGGCACCCGTTTATAAATCCAGGAGTTATTTCCAGAGTTTTTGATGAGCAGTCCTCTTAAAGTATTCTGGGTGGAAAGTTGTTACTGGATCTGGCGTTAAGGATAAGAAAGGAGCTGCTAAAATTTGGGGAGGTTTCCTGGTAGTGATTATTCTAGGACATGTGTATCTTCTAATGTGGTCTTCAGGTGGGTTCTTAGAAGGAACACGTTCTTGTGTAAGGGGTTAACCCTAGAGTAGTCTTTCTCTTGTGCAGTGCAGATAGGAAAACTGACCTGCATTGAGTTTGAGTTGATTTGATAAGAGATGAAGTACAGTATTTTTTAATCTAAAGCAGATTCTTTTTCTTAGAAAATGATAGGAAAAAAATTATTGATGGATGTCTTTGCTGGAATCTAAAAATTAGCTCATATTTCAGGACAAAAGCATGCCCAAGAATCATTTTACTTTTTCCTTCATAGCCCTCTGAAGCTACTTTTTTGATATGCTCAGTACTTTTTGTTTTTTTAATATATATATTTTTGAATTTTGGTGAGGATTACTAGCCCTGAGCCAACATCTGTCACCAATCCTCCTCCCTTGCTGAGGAAGATTGGCCCTGAGCCAACATCCATGCCCATCTTCATTTTACATGTGGGATGCCTGCCACAGCATGGCTTGATAAGCGGTGCCTAGGTCCGCGCCTGGGATCCAAACCCTCGAACCCTGGGCTGCTGAAGCAGAGTACACAAACCCAATCACCACGCCACCGGGCCAGCCCCATGCTCAGTACTTGTAAACAGACCTTTTTTTCTTGGTTCATGAAAGTTTAATTCCAAACTTTGACTATTTTCTTTCGTAACTTTAAAATAGAACAATTGCTTTTGACATGAATTTTTGCTTACATATATATTTGTAAATTAAGACCAAATGGGCAAAGTCTTGGGCAGGTAACGTTAGTGAAGTGTGTGTATTGGAACAAATGGAAAAGGGTCGCAAAGATTAGAAAGAGTCAGAAAAAACTGCTTGATTTATAAATGCATTTCTTCTGGTGCTCTATATAATGGGATATATTGAACTAGAAAATTTGTATATACAGAATGTCAGCATTTCTTAGTAATTTCTCTTGAATCCGTTTTTAATATCCAATATTGTACAGGTTGGGGAGTTCTACTCTTCAGCCAATACTATCCAGACTGTATAAATTTATAAAATAAGTTGAAAAATTTATCATTCCCTGTTTTCAAGACCAAAGTACATAAATGCTAATGTAGGGCTCAGAGGGAAAATATATTTCTCCTGAATATTTGAGAAAATGTGAAGTCTTTTCAAGAAAATCTAATAAACATAATAATCATAGCCTGCTGACACTAAGGAAAAAGGACCTCATTCGCTCGTTCTTTTATGCAGCGATTTACTGGTCCCTACTGATTGCCAAATTGGATCACTGTAGTAAATTATCTATGCTGGTACCTGTGAAAGTAAGCCCTGGGATCCATATTTGTTTTGTGTTCTGCTTAAATCAGCAAGAATGATAAATTTGATGGTGTGAAATTGAAAGTGTCACGGGCTTTCTTTGGTGATTGAGCAAAATAATGTCTCCACTTGTAATTTATTGTGACCCTTTTCACTGTACGTGCTTTGTATATCTAATATTTATTTCAGTACGAATTAAATTGTTCTTTCATCTATATTGTTGTATCTAAGACTTTATTGATGTAAAAATGAAATTGTGTAATAAAAATCAAATTGTGTAATAAATTCTCTGGATTTAAGCAGATTTGAAAATATGTTGCAAAAAGACATTTACAGTTAGAATTCAGCTTTCCATTGCGCTTCATTGCCTTAGTGTTAGAATCAGATGAATTTGAACACTTCTGTTGACCTCAGCTCTTCACAAATAATAGAAGTGGTGTAATTTTGTGGTCTAATGTGAAACTGGGAAACAAAATGTGGCCTACGGTGAAACCGGAAGAAAAAAAAGAATTATATTGGATCTCTCAGCTGTTTGCTTGCTTCTGTACTTTTTTGTTTAGTGAAATTTACAGCCTAGTGGATGAATTCTTTATAACCCTAAAATGATTCACAGTATACAATATATCTGAAGTGATAAATCCACACAGGGTAACATAGAGGAATATATTTCCCGTCTAGGTGTTTAGAGTTACCTGGCAGATATTTTCTGTGACAATTTTAACAACTAATACTAAGCAAAACACTGTACAAGCAAGCTAAACAAATGTTTGTCCATTTAGAGATTATAATCGAAGGGGCATAATGGAAATCAGTTGTATAAAGCAATTCTGAGAGGTGAATAAATATTGAATTAGTAAATGAGTTGTCCACATAAGGGGAAAAGTGTTTGGTAGCCCAATAAATAAAAAGAGTATTAGAAAAATTGATTTCCTAAAGATTTAATGGTGTAAGGTTTTAGGGACATACATACTGTTGATTCATAATGCTCT